CATGTGTTTTAATTTATAAATATCACTGTCGGTCTTATGTTTTTGTGTTGATTGGTTTGGTGATTTAAGAACAAGGTTGTTTTTGTTGTGTTGTACATTGAAGCTATAATTTTGAATCTTCAGTTTCTCATTGTTCATTGCGTTTCCTCTGCATTGTTCATGGAAACAAAATCCTACAAAGAGTGTGTTTCTGACTATATTTGTTGTGGAGAGAGTCATTATTCAAAGATCTGTGTCTTCTTGTCATGATTTCGAATCACAAATTACTACTATTTTCAAAAGTTTGAGAAGGAGCTCTGTGGTTATGTAATCCCATATCGGTTGGTAGGATAGAAAACTTCTCCCTAGTAGACACGTCTTAAAACGGTGAGGCTGACAGTGATACGTAAGGGGCCAAAGCGGACAATATCTACTAGCAGTGAGATTGAGTTGTTACAGGTTGGTAGGATGCCAGACATCGGGCAGTGTGCCAGCGAAGATGCAGGACCTCCAAGGGGGTGGATTGTGAGATCCCACATCAGTTGAAGGGGGAAACGAAGCATTCCTTATAAGGATATGAAAACCTCTCCCTAGTAGATGCGTTTTAAAACCGTGAAGGCAATACGTAACAGGCCAAAGCAAACAATATCTACTAGCGGTGGGCTTGAGCTGTTACTTTTTTTTTTTTTTTTTTTTTTTTTTTTTTTTTTTTNTTTTTTTTTTTTTTTTTTTTTTTTTTTTTTTTTTTTTGTTTTGTTATTACCCCTTAAGGATGTCTCATTTTACTTGACCGGAGTCGGTTTCTTTAGTTCAGTTTTATTTTTCGTATGCCCTTATATTCTTTCATGATTTTCTCAATGAGCTGCCATGAAATGAATGGTGTCATCTTGATTCCCATTACTGTGTTCCATGCTGAATGAAGTGCTTTTATGAATGGTGTCATCTTTCTTGAACCTCAAACTCTGTGTGTGTTCAATCTGTGCTGTGGTAGGTTGAGATACGGAAGCCATAGTTGGTGTAAGATTGATGCAGCAGCTTGTTGGTGAAGAGGATTTGGCCGATTGGAAGGGCACCGTAGGGGATTTTTTGTTGCATTGGTTGATATATATTCAGGTTTGGCAGAGGGAATGAAGCCACTGGTCCGCTGAGTATAGTGATGTATGTATGTATGTATGTATGTATGTAATACATTGGATCTTATTTCTTCAAATCAATTTCAATTTCAATTTCCATATCTTCATCATCCACCTTTTTCTTTGCCTGATATATAAAACTGATCAAGATTATTGCACCATGATTCTACCATCGACCTCGACTAGTCATGAGGCTTCTCTCGAAACAACAAGAGTTTGTTCATCAAACGTACTGTGCGAGACTCATTTCTATGAAACTAAGCGTATTTAGAACATGTTCGAGAATCATTTGGAAGCGCTAGATCACTTCCTGTCGTGCTCAAAATCATTTCCAAACATAGCTATGATTTTGATTGTTTTAAAATCAGAGTTAAAATTTTTTAAAAGTAACACTAAATTGATTGCAATTGGGTCGCTGGATTATGGGTGATTTTGAAACTATTTTTTTTTTTTATTTTTTATTTTATATGTTATCCAAATCAAACAAAAAATTGTAATTTAGTTTTTTTTTTCTTTATAATTAGATTTAAATTAAACTGAGTCAATTAGTTGTCCTATTTCAAAATAACGAATTATAGGAAAATGTCCTGGAATAATTTTAAGAAATTAAAAAAACAATAAACAAATTAACTAAAAATAAGGCTTCTTGAGTTTTTAAATAATTATAAATGCTTATTGTTTTTGTTTTTTTTTTTTAATAATAAAATAAAAAATATTAATATATTAGATTTATTTATATTACTCTATCTATTAAGTATTTAGTTATATATTTGTACTCCAATTACCATATAAAAGTCGGGAAGGAAATCCTACTTAAAGCTGATTCAAACGCCCAACAGAAATTCGAGGGCGGTGCCATTCTTCGGTTTCTTCCATTGACTCGATTCTTCAGATACGCTCGATCTCACGAGTAGTGAACGAAAAATGGTAGTCGAAGAGACGATCAAAGCTACATCGATGGAAGATCTTTCTAATTCCATCGCAAATCAAAACCCTAGGGGACGAGGCAATGAGGAAGATGAGGATCTTGAGGAAGGAGAGATCGTCGGCGACGACGACCTGGACTCCTCCAATTTATCTGCGGCGATAGTGCATCAGCCTCACCCTCTGGAGCACCCTTGGACCTTTTGGTTCGATAACCCATCCGCCAAGTCCAAGCAAGCCACCTGGGGTGCGTCTATCCGACCGATATATACCTTCTCTACCGTGGAGGAGTTCTGGAGGTAGAATTTTTCTTTTCGTTTCTTTTCTTTTTTTGATAACTTACTCTTTTTTTCGATTCTTTTGTTGTTGTCGTTTCTTGGTCCGCTTTATGTTTTTTTTTTTTTTTTCTGGGGAAATTTAGGAAGCTTCGGGAAAAAGGGATCGACATTGCTTTGGGAATTGAATATTCTTCTATGTTTTTTTAGCGTTTTACTTGTATTGGTCTTGTTGTATTTAATTCGAAACAGCTGAGCCAAAGAGAGGGGATTATGATTGTTAGGGCTGGAGAGAGGGGACTTGCTCATGGATGAAATTGGGTAGAACATTTAGTTTCTTATCGCAGGTCTTGAATGGATAGTGATGTTCTTTGATATATGCATGAAGCTACGGGGAAAAGTATACGTGGTGCTATTTCTGCTCTTGTTTTTTTTTTTTTTTTTTTTTTTTTTTTTTTTTTTTTTGTGTGTTTTTNCGGGAGCTCTGTTGGAGACTTTATTTTTGACGTTCATGTAGATTATATTTGTGAATATTCTAAAGTTTAGTACGAATTACTTCGATTATGTGTGTCTAAACCTAAGAATTAGATATAAATAAGTTACACGTGCGAGCAAGTTACTAGGAAATTTCTTTGAATTTATATAAACAATCACTTCTGCTAATTTTGGACGAGTTTGGACCATCATTTGCTGTTGAAGTTTTCTAATCGTTTTACCATCTTTGCCTCCTCAACTCTTGTTCACTCTGTTTTGTTTTGTGGTGTTCACTGATTACTTGAGTTTTTGCATTCATAAATCAGAATTTGAATAAACTATGCTATTGAGTTGAGTTCAAGTCACTGTGGTCATTGGCTGCCTACTTGGTTTTGGCGATCAAATATAGTTACCCCATGGCTGACCTTTGAGAATAGTTGAGGTGCATTGTTAGCTCGCTTGGATACTCTTAGATTCCATTTGATAGACATTTGAATTTATGTTTCCGAAAATTGTGCTTGGTTTCTAATAATTTATTTACGATGGTCTCCATTTCTCTTGTTAATATTTGAATTCTTATTCAAATTCCAAAAACAAAAATAAGTTTTTAAGAACTATTTTTTTTAGTTTTCAAAACTTTGCTTGACTTTTTCAAATGCATTGTAGAGAGTAGAGAACAAAAGAAAGGAACTCATAGATGGTAGTAATATTTACAAGCTTAATTTTAAAAAATCAAATGGTTATAAAATGAGGGCCTTTGATATCCATTTTATTGTACTTTTACATAGAATAGAAAGTTCGGTAAAGCATTTACGTGTTGTTTGCTTCTGAAATGTTTCAATCTAGATACTTATTATGTTGCTTTAACAAATAATTTAAAAGCCTTAATTTGAAGATGGACTGGTTTTAGGGGTCCGTCATTACTTGAAATTATAAATGGTTGCCTCATGTTGACATTTCTATCATTTTTATAGCAGTTTCTACTGGCATACAATGCTTAATTTTCTTTTTCCTGCTTTTAGTGTTTACAACAATATTCATCATCCAAGCAAATTGGCGTTGAGGGCAGATTTGTACTGCTTCAAACATATAATTGAGCCTAAATGGGAGGATCCTGTCTGTGCGAATGGAGGGAAATGGACTGTGAACTTTTCAAGGGGCAAATCTGATAATGGCTGGCTATACACGGTACTACCTTGAATTGCATGTTCAATTTGGCATGTAAACAAAGATATTCGAGAATGGTTATTGTTATTATTTTTCTAAAAAAATAAATTACTTCAAACAGCTGCTTGCTATGATCGGAGAACAGTTTGATTGTGGTGATGAAATTTGTGGAGCTGTTGTCAACGTTAGATCTGGGCAGGATAAAATATCGATTTGGACTAAGAATGCTTCCAATGAAGTGGCGCAGGTAATAGCCACCAGACCAATAATTTATACATATAGCCCACTAGATTTTCTCCAGCATAATATGCTCTACATTAATACGATACTTTATCCCGGCACACGCAATGAACTGCATTTTTTAACAATAAATTGTCGGGATCTATGTATTCATCAGTTACTGTCTCTACTTCCTACTCTATTTTCTGGCTAGGCGAGCATTGGGAAGCAGTGGAAGGAGTTTCTTGATTACAATGACAGCATTGGCTTTATATTCCACGTATGTATGCTGCTGCTATATAGTTTTATTTACATTTCTCATGGTTTTAACTCAATCTTTTGTTTCATGTTTCTGATACCATGTTAATTTCTCGTTCAGGAAGATGCAAAGAAGTTTGACAGGCATGCGAAGAACCGATATACGGTGTAATATGGTTTCTAGCGAGTATCATGGGAGGAGGATACTCATCCTATTTGAGCAAAGCATGCCTGCCTCAGCATGTAAAAGGTTGAGCTATGGCTTCTTCCTTTAGTTTCAACTCCCCACTCCCCCCAAAGCCAACCACACCACCAAGATAAAAAGTGGTTTTATTCGGTAAACAATGTTTTGTGCGATTAGGAATTTTATGTGGAAATCGCCATCGCTCAGATTCTTGCTCTGTACATGACGGCTTTAGTATGAGATAGATGGAACGGAATGCTTTTTCTAGAATCAAAATGATATTGGCTTCGTCTGAGTTTATTATATTTCTCTCTCATTGCATTTTCCTTTGTGTTCGTTTCTAAACTAAATTATTTTACAATTGGTTAGGAAAAAAAAAAATAATTACCGATGTCCATAGATAACATTTCCTAAAAAGATTACCCCTTTTGAAAAAAATACTATTAATTTTTGAATTTCTTCCCTTAAAATTTGGAACGGAAAAATTATGAGTGGAAAAAACGGGTCCTGGGGATGCAGGGGCTCTGAAATCAATAATGGTGCCGATCCATCCATATTAAGGATTTGGAGGGTTCCTTCTGTGGCGATCCGTACCTATTCTTGGCTCCATTAAGGCGCTTTCTCCTGCAGCAAGGAGCACTGCAATGGCCTTCCCACCTCCAAGTATCTATCTCCATTCTCTGTGCTTTCTTCGGGATTTCTCCTTTTATTTTCTATTGGGTCAATGTTATTTCATTGCTGACGACTTCTTTTCCTGTATTAGTTACTATACTTGCATGCATGCCCGATATCTGGGATACCCAAGAAATGATGATGTCGATGGATTTCCTGTTTCTGAATTTTGCAATCAGAGTAATGGTATGCATCTCTCAATTCTGATGAACCATTTGTTGCTTGTGTGCTGATTGCTGTTCATGAATGTGGAAGAGGAGTTCTCACTCTGAGGTTAAGCCGGAAAGCAATGATGAACAGGAGAACAACCAAAAAAAATTGTGGCCTAAAAAATGCAGCTGTTGCAAAAGGAAAGCCTCCCCACGTGAAAGCATTCAAATGGTATGTCCTCTTATGCAACTCTTTTACTAATAGTTGATATCTTATTCAGGACAATGTGAGAACCAAGCATTTGTGTATGGATATCTTGAGCTGTGGAATCCTTGCAGACCACTTTTATGCATTTGTTTAAATAGAATTCTTTGTTGTTTTTGTTGGGGGCTGGAGTTTAATTTACTTAGCTCATGAACTAGATGAAACTGAAGAAGGGAAATTTGGATCCAACATTTCTCATTTAAGTCATTACTCAGACGTAGCAGAGAAATCAATGGAACCATTTGTTTCAGTAATATCATTCATCATTTTGATTCTCTTCGGGGTCTCGAGCCAGTGGTTTCCAAGCCCCTTTGGTTGATGTTTTCAAAACAGCAATACCAACAGGTAAAACACAGATCTTAAAGGTCATGGACATTTTCTTTGTTACTAGATTCATCATCTTGAATTAAGTCTGAGGAAGCCCGAAAGAGAAAGCCCAAACAGGACAATATTTGTTAGCGGTGGACTTAGGCTATTACAGCTATGAACTTCAGCCAGTGTGTTTACATACGAAATAAGCACTAGTCTCCCAACGATATTTAAGCAGATCCTTTTCGTTGCCTGCCAAGGCATAGTCCTTTAGTTGTAGATATCCACTCCATTTTGTTTTCATTTGAATGTGAGTATCAACAGCCTCATCTGTTCTTGCTTCTCACCTACTACTTATATTTCAAGACTGATATGATTGATTTGATTTTAGGGGTAACAAGAGATCATAAATGGTTCAATCTGGGATAGCTCGGCGCGTTTCGGCTACGTTGCAACCTGCTGCTTCAAGTCTCATCTGTGAGTATAACTGTTTCCCCAATCAATCAATAAATCATGTTCTTGAAATATGAGTTATAGGAATGAAGTTACTCTGTCACCATTGCTTCTGATCCTTTTCTTTGCTTTATTGATAATATTTCCTTTTTGGATATAAATGTTCCATCCAAAAGTGCATGCATATGCGAACAACTGAGGTGATTTATATATAGTAAGTGAAACCGAATGTTCTGTATGCAATTTTTGATAACTCTGCTAAGGAAAACCAAAAACATGAAGCCTCATTACCTTCACATTTGTTCAAACAATAAAAACAAAAAGAATTACCAAACAACTGACTATTTGATATCAAACCACAAATCGAAGACTTTGATCCAAGTTCTAAGTGGGGTGGGTTTGACTTGTTTGTAAAATCGAGTTTATATATATATATATATATAAACTCATTTGAACTTTGTTTATTGAATTGTCATCTATAAGCTTTACTTGATCTGATATTCTCTAGAATGTGTTTGTTCTTTTAGAGGTGGTAGGTTCCAATTCTAAACTAATTGAGTTGATAAAACTCAAAGAAATAATTGTATAGATTAAATCGTAGAACTTTTATAAATGCATTAATTTACACCATCTAGATTTTGTTTGAAAACCCTTATTTTACCCACGAGAAAACTTATAATTCTACCAATTAAATTTAACTTTTTTAAGTGAATTTGTTCAAGAATAGATGATATAATTATATGTGCAAACACGAGTATTAATTGAATTTGAAGTTTTAGTTGATATAATTATTAGTTTAGAGTTATAAATTGATTTTTTTGTTACAAAATAAAAAAAATAAAAAGTTGGTAAGTAGGATAACGAAAGTCTCACCAATCATATTGAATATAAAAAGCTCAAAATCAAAATGATTGTTCGTTCCTTTTACCAACACGCAACTCTCTCTCTCCCCTCCCTTTAATTTCTTTCTTCTATAATATTATAAATTAGATTTTAAAATTAAATATACAAAAATTTATAATGTAATTAATTTTAGATATAATATTACTTCTATTTGTGTTTTGAAAAAGAAGTTTTAAATTTTTTGTATTATTTTAAATGTATTTAAGATAAATAAAAAATCGATAATAATAAACTAGAATAATTATGAAATTGGTCGATAATCTTTTCTTCTCTCCATCAATGTTTTTGTAGATTTAGAAAATGAATTCGGAAATCCAGGACATACTCAATCCTAGAGTGCAAAATTATTCTTATAAAGAGAATATATTCTCAATCTTAAGGTAGGATATTTTTTATATTAAAATATTAATTAAAAATGGACATTTATCATTTACTAAAATGAATTTTGTATTTTCAAGACTAATGTTTACTTTTGTTCTCGAAAAAGAAATATTTTTAATTTTAGAACGACGTCATCGATCCTTCTTTCATAATTGATTTTTCCAATAAAACGCCTCATCTTGCAACTGCCCGAACTTCCTATTATCTTTTCCCATGCAAAGTATAACAAACTGCTTCTGATTGTTCCACATCACCATTATTTAATTCATTGGGTCTCTTTTGGTTTTGTTAATTGTCTATACTTTTAATCATAATGTAATCATATGACACCTCAAGTTCATGCTCGCTTATTATCTCTTTATTATAATGTTTTTTAAAAAAACTTTAGGATTAATTCAGTATTAATTCAGTATCAATTAAAATATATATATATATATATATATATATATAATAATTTCAATCAAATGTAATGAAAATTATAAAACTAGAAATAACATTTTTATAAAGTGTGAATATAAAAACAAAGCTTCCACTATATATTTAATAAATAAATAAAAACGGAGCGTCTAATATGTGCAATAGCCGTAATGAACAAGTAATCTGGTTGGGAGAGATCGTCAAATCTTCGAAACCAAATCCCTCCCTCAAAAATTTCATAAACTCATCATTTTTTTTTTTTTTTTCTGTAAGAAAATGAAAATACAACTTTCAATTTTGATTATTTGGTAAAATCGATCATTTCACCAACAACAAATCCCCAAACTATAATTAAATTTGATTCAATAGAAGCAGAGCGAAGAAGCCTTTTAGCGTTCGTCGCGGTTTGATTTTCCGCTTCCGAATTTGTGTATCTATCTAGAAATTCATCGGAGATTCGATCACCGTCCTCATTCCGATCACGTTTCTAAGAATCCGGTCATCCGAAGGATCGAATTCCTTACTCGTCTCAAATCTCGTCCTTTCAGCGTCCTTCCATTCCCAGTGCAAACAGAGAACGCCATTTTCCCTGCCATTCGCCTCTCCGCCACCACATGCGGCGGAATCATTTCCTCTTCGTCCGTTTCATCCTCTTCCTCCGTCGTCCTCCGACGGTTTCTTTCCGGAATTCCTACCGGAAGCGAACTCGCCATTACCTTCTTCGACATCCGTCCACCATCGCGCACCGTCCGCTGTTGATACTTATTTCGCGGCGTTACAACCATTCCTCCGCGGCAGTTGAAGTTAAAGAAATCCTCGCCGCAATCGTCGTCGTCGGCACCGTGAAGGTAACGGCAGTGGTCGAGATCGGAGAAAATCACTTCGGATTCCTGGAATTCTTCGGCCATATACGATTCAAGTGAAGAGAAATGGAACAGTAGGAAGGCGAAGATGAAGGGGCCGGTATTTATAGAGAGGGAATCGGAGGAGACTCGGCTCGGCTCCGAGTCGTCCTGAGCACACATTTTCAAATACTTTTTTTTCTTTTTCAATAAAAGGGGAAATGACGTCACAATATAGTTGAGTGGGCCCCATGTCTTCTCATCCTAGTTTTATAATAATAATACTAATTATTATGGTTGTTTTTTTTTAAAGGCTAAAGGGCTCCGTTACTTGTGGGCCACGGAGTTGCAAGCTGTTGGCTTGCATGGGTAAGTCATTGACCTGACAGAAATTTGCTGTCCACGTGTCCCATTTTCTGCCTCCCACATTAATTATTACTTATTTATTCCCAAACATGTCCTCCTTCCACCCAATCTTTTCCAATTTTCATTATTATTTATAGATTAAATGAGATGTTTATAAAATTTCTTAAAAACTTATAAATTTATTGAAATATTTTAATTTTGTTGATTATACCGATTTTATTTATTAATGATTTTTTTAACTTCAATTTTATTTTATTTTATTTTATTTTATGTTGTATTTAATATATGAATAAAGTTTTTATTTTTTATGTACGCATATAATTGTATTTAATATATGAATAAAGTTTTATTAATAGAATTTTTAAATATTCTTAAATATATAAATACGCATATAATTGTACGTATGTATATACGTACATACATAGACATGTTTGTTGAAAAAAAAAAACATAAATTAACTAAAAGTGTTTGAATTGAAACAATGGATACGATTACGTGATAGCTAAGAATTGCGGCTAAACTCACCACGTTGGAGAGATAAAAAAAATTGTACGATAGCGATGCTGGAATTGGTCCCATAAGATATTTTATCCCATTTCTTTGGAGATCCACACGCTATGTAGCATCAGAATATGACAACTTTCTAATAGTTCGACACGTAGCTTGATTTTCTTGTTAGGGTCACCACCCCGGCTTTAGTATATTGTATGGTACGAAATTATTAGGTTTATAATTGCCTATTAATAAAATTAAATATTTTTAGAAAAAGTAAACAATAAACTAATTTAAAAATTTATTAAAAGTATATATAAAAAATGAAACAAATCTGTATAATGAATCCAATTCTTTGGATAAGATTTTAAAGTTTCACGGTCTTTGAAAAGCATTTTTGGGGGAAAATGACAGCTGTTGCTTTTCATATATATTTTATTTTAATCTTCCTTTCAATATAATATAGTTTGTGGGTATTTTATGATGAGGAATAATGTGTTCCAAATATGCATGTTAATCATAAATATAAAAGAGTAAAATGCTATATTTTATTTTTATTTATGGTGTTATCGAAAAAAAATAATACATATTTTAGTGATTATAAATTAGTTTTATTCCAAACATAGATGGGAGTTTGTAATTTATTTTATTTAAATTCTGAAATTTGGAATAATTTATGTCAAATAGAGCATAAATAAAATGTTCAAATTTTAATGCCTTTTGAAATGTAAATGAACAAAGAAAATAAATATTACTTCTTAGTAAATAATAATAAATATGGGCCTCTGCACGGCCCAATCTCTTATTATCCCACATCGCTGAATTTCGAACGTAATACGCGTTTATATTGTGGAGGCGATATGGATAGAGCGTCCCTTCGGGGACATCCGATAAAATTGGAACGATACAGAGAAGATTAGCATGGCCCCTGCGCAAGGATGACACGCACAAATCGAGAAATGGTCCAAATTTTTTTTTTTCTAAATTACGAATTGCTGTGACTTTACGATCTTACCCCTCCCAGATTTATCGTTTTCTCTGGCTGTTGAGAGCTCGCTTGGAGTGAAGAGGTATGCATGGCTTCCTTCATAGTCGTCTTCTTCTTCTTCTTCTTCTTCCAACGCCGTAGTATTGATCGGTTTCTATTTAATTTTTGGTTTTCTAGCAATTTGGTCTGAAACAACTGATTTGGGTGCAGAAAAGGTTGAATTGGTGCATTAGGGTTACGTCTCCCTTCCTGATTCTCTCTTTTCCTATGCCTTGGTTTTAAACAATCTGTGAGGGGTTGTTGCTTTGCAGGAGTTTGATTTTGGTGCTTTATCATGTTCTTTTCCTACGATTAGGGATTCGTTCATGATATTTAGTTTCTCAGTGTTCAATTGAGCCAACTTTTCGCTGTGCTGTGTGTTCCGCTTGACTTTTATTTGTAGGTTATGAATTGAATGCGTTTCTTGTACCTTGCTTGGTCATGGAATTTGATTGAACAAAAAGCTCTAAAATTGGATCTGGGTTTATGTAGAAAAGGATGGTTTTGGGATTTTTGTTTATCTGGGATTTGTAATTGAATGAGCGTGGAGAGTTTGTTCCCTCTGATCATAAGCACCAATTTGTTCATTCGGCTCAAACTGTGTCAACAACATCTCATGATCCAAAACATACCTTGGATTTGTTTGCTTCTGCCCCACAGCAGAGGAGAAGTAATTGTCACCCTTCATATCAACAACAGATGAACTCTAGTGCAGCACAACCAAATATAACAATCCAAGCTTACGGTGAGTATTCCCTCCAAGGGGATATTGGGAATCACATACTCTCCCTCGATAATATGATATTGTCAATTTTGAGTATAAGCTCTTGTGGCTTTACTTTTGGTTTCTTCAAAGGGTCTCGTACGGATTGAAATGTATTCCTTACTTATAAACCTATGATCAACCCTTTAATTAGTCGATATGGGACACCTCTTCCAACAATCCTCAACAAGGAATTGGTGAATTGGCGACTGTTGTTCTTGCTACAGCAAGAACAACAGTATAGATATCTTCCTCCTCAAAGATTCACAGGAGAGTTTATGAATAAGAACAAGTAGCAGTCATTTACTTGAGTGATGGATCATGGATGAGTATGTTTTCTCTGTAGCTAAGAAGGCAAAATTGTCAGTTGAGCAGCTTTCTTGTAATGGTTTTAACAGCATTTCTTTTAGATCTCACCAAACTTTCAAATCTATAGGAAGTCCAGTTTTCATTGTTACAACTTTAGTTACATCAACTGCTGCTCGAACCTCGATCGACTGCGCTGGACAATATCAACTCTTCTGCAACCAAGTCCCTGAATACTGGAAAAGTTGGTAACATTGACGGGCTGAAGATGTAAGAAAGCAGAAGGAAGGTAATGAAGGTTAGTGAATAATGAATGTAGTATCATTCTTCACAGTTCATATGTAAATGACCTTTGTTCATCCTGCTCATATCAGTTGCATCACAACAACAGCAAAACAAAGGGAAGCTTAGAACATACAGTAAAAAAAAAAATATATATATATATATTTTACTCCCTCAATTTACTTTCAATTTTTGTTCATTTCCGCCCCTTTACCTTCAAAACGTCTATTCTAGTTCCTATACTCTGTTTTAGTCCCTTCAATTTTATTTTTATTTATTATTTTTTTCAATAATCTTTTCGAAAAGGATCGAAAATTATCACATTTTAGAAATACAAAGATTAAAATGAATGTTTTGAGAGGACGGAACTTAAAATAAAAGTAAAATATAATGACCACAAGTTCGTATTTAAGCTTTAAACATAAAGAGATTCGAACGAATTTGATATACATCTCGAGAAAAGAAGAATTCTCTATAATCTTCCCATCTCTCAATCCTTTACATATATATATATATTTTTTTTTCTCGAAAGGGTTACTACACATCTCGGTCAAAGGGAGGTTTCTATAAACTTCTCATCTCTCGATCCAATATAAGAAAATTAAGATTTTTTTTGTTTGTTTGTTTGTTTTAATTTCTTAATTTTAAGTTTAAAACTAATAATTCAAACCCGAGCTAACTTGACTTGGAATATAGGAACTTAAAGGTCATAGTTATAGTACCCGAAAACTAAAAGAAACTATTTAAAAAAAAAAATTAAGAGAATCAGTACTCTAAAGCTAAACAACCAAATTAAAAAAAAAAAAAAAAAAAGTAAAATCAAAGTAAAGAATGTTGAAAAATAACACATTGAAAGGATAAAATTGAAACGGCATCTTAAGAGCGTAATTTTTTCAATAAATTGTGTCAAACGTTTCTTGTCACCGTCGAAGGAAAGAAAATGGCCACAACGGCGGCGTCACTTCCGGTCGTTTTGTTCTTCCTCCTCCTCCTCACTTCTCCGCCGCCGTCCCTTTCCTTCTCCTTCTCCCAATTCAAAACCCTATTTTCACTCGCACATTCCCTCATGTCTCGTGTCGCCAATCTACGCGCCTCTCGCGGAGACTTCGCCGGCTCGCAACGGGCCAGGCACATTGCCCATCAGCTAGAGCAAGGGCTCGGACTTAGCTTCTGGAGCTCCATGTGGTCGCTCGCCTGGGACTACGCGAAGAACTACGCTTGGAGAGACATCTCCTATTCAGATCTCTACGACGCCCTTCCGGACATTAACGAGTTGCTTAGGGCTTTCACCGAGTTGACTGGGTTGGAATCAGAAATGGCAAGAGCGAGTTGGGTTACGCGGAATTACCAATCGGTCCTGAGGGTAGCCAATTCGCTGTTGAAGAGGCTTCTTAAAGTGTTTAGAAAATCGGTACGTGGATGGGTCGCTTTCGGTTGCTTGCAAGGTGTTCGATAAAATGTCTGAATGAAAAGTAGGGTGTAAAATGGCGCAATTAATCTGTATTTTGTTGTTTTTTGTGATTGGCATGGCAGGGGGCTTGGAGGGATGTGGTGGAGACGGTTCAAGTGGAGGTGGTGGACGGTGGATTGCTGAAGGACTGTTTGGAGCTGGGAAGTGGCGATTTGAAAGGCATGGTTCAGATTCTCAAGGATTTGGCTTTGAATTTCTATTCCTCCACTTCTCAACGCCGTAATGAACTGTAAGAATCTGTAAGTAATTTTTCAATTACATAGAGTTATTTACAAGTTTTTGAAGAAAGATTACATACTTTTAATCCAAAAACAAAAGGGGGTAGGGGTCGAAATAATAAATGAGGAGAGCATGGTGGATGGATGCATAGTGTATAAATGAGATATCTTAAATGGTCAATAGGTTGGTGCGTTTGCATGTTACTCCCATTGGGACTTACCTCTCAATGCATTCAATTTCCCTACCTACCTTACCTTCATTTATTATAAGTGCCTTAAAGTTTATGTTTTTTTTAAGTTCGATTTGACTTGGATCGTATATATGGTTTCGAGAAACTATTAGTTCTTTGTTTCAATTTTGTTTCAATAATAAAGAATAACCTTCAATTTTTTTTTTTTTTTTTTTTTTAGAACTTTAGAAAAAATATCCTAAAATCATAAAATTTTAGGAGTAGCTAATACAATTTACTTTTATAAAGATTTTTTTTTGACAAACAATATATTAACGACTTTATTGATACCTCATAAATTATGATATAAAAAAAATTAAAAAATTTAATCTTTTGTAGGGTATTAATAAAACTTTTGAAATTCAAAGGTATTTTTTGAAATAGAGCGTTAACATTTCCATCCAAAATGTATCGACAAGGGTGTTTTTCTAAACTTTTTGAAAATTTAGGATAGAATAGGATTTTTTATTTTAGTTTAAAGATATTTTTAAAAAAATTTAAAGGTATTTTTGAAATTAACATAAAAATTCTTTAAAATTTTGGAGACAAGTGCAAAGTTGAAAGTGTATTTTTATTAAATCGGACCCTTTAAACCCAAAATTAACCCAAACACCTTTAATTTGAGCTGTCCAACAAACCCAATAAATAAAATCCGCCATATTTAATTGAAATGAGTATTATAAGATCCAAATCAAAATCAAAATAAAATCTGAGGTATTAAAAAGAAAATAATCAATTAATCTTACCTAAAACTCCATACTATTATATCATAATCCAAATCCAAAGTTGCTTCATTATATTAATCAAGGTAGCTGTCTAAAATTTATATTTCTCCGCTGCTGAGTAATGCATATTTATTCATATTTATGAGCGTTGGAAATTGCGTAGTGAATATGGCCATAAACAAATCCAATTTAATGGACTTACTATTACTATACATCTTATGCAAAAAAAACGTACATTAAAATTTAACACCAAACTTTAATACAAACCAAGCTCATTCTCCCAAGGACTTGCATGAATAATTCATGTCCGCAACACGAAAAAAACGTTCGTATTAACTTTATTGTTGTAACAGCACAAGTTCATTGGTTATGTATTACCGTCAACCTCATAGTTTTAAAATGCGTCTGTTATGGAGAGATTTCCACGCTTTTAACTAATATGAGATCTCTCAATCCACTATCTAGAGACCTAATGTCCTCGTTGATACATCGCCTGGTGAGTAATTCTGATGGTAAGACCTCGCATCAGTTGAAGAGGACGAAACATTTCTTATAGAAGGTGAAAATTCTCATTAACAGACACATTTTAAAACTGTGTGACTAACAACATTACCTAACGAACTAAAGTAGACTATGTCTACGGGTGTATATAAAAGTTTCATAAATGGACACAAAATTAAAATTTTATTAGGGAGTAATTAAAAAGTGTAGGAAGGAGCATAATTAAAAAGAAAAAACACATAATTTGGTAAATAATTGAAGCTTTTGTTAAATAAATAAATAAAAAGAAAGAAAGAGACATTTTGTTTGTGCACACGAAGCCGCATAGTTGAGTGTTATGTCTCAGTCCCAACACATTATATCCGCGTGAAATAAATGCTTCCAACCTTCCTCCTTCAACTGCCATTAATTTCTTTTTTTTAATTATAAATTAATTTCCCTCTCCATTATATAAACCCAAACCCACATACATTTTCCCCTTGCCCATTATATACATATATATTTTAACCTTTTTTCTTTTCTACATATAATCAGTTGAATGGCGGAGCGTTACAGCGCGGCGTGTTACAGGGCGGCGGTGTTGGCGCTGGTTGTGACCGTGTTGTGTAGTGCCGCGGCGGCGCAGCAAGTTCCGTGCTACTTCATTTTTGGCGATTCATTGGTGGACAACGGGAACAACAACCAGCTTCAATCTTTGGCTAGAGCCGATTATTTGCCTTATGGGATTGATTTTGGTGGACCCACTGGAAGGTTCTCCAATGGCAAAACCACAGTTGATGTTATCGGTAATCTTTCCTGTCTCTTCGCCCTTCATAAACATTTCAAAATTATTAAACTTAATATTAAGATTTAGATGTGTTTTTAAAAAGAAAATTAATAAAGTTGAAGTTTGCATTGAATAGGCTATAATTGGCTATAAATTGCATGCACATGCAAATTAATTTCAAAATATTTATGACATTTTATTCACTCACGCGGTAAGTTTTTCTGAGAATTCATAAATTAAGGATTATTATTTTTTTTATTATAAAAATTGGCTTTAAACTCTAATTATACCCTCTAAATTTAGATAAATGTGGTAATTTTTATCTTAAACTTTTCTTAAAAAATTGATGATAAAAAAATTATTTTGTGTCTTTAATAAATTATAAAATATATCTAAAAAACATGTGTTAGATTTGTCTTCTTATTATTTAATTCACATGTTTCAACAAAATTATTTAATAGTCAATTCTAGGCCTAGATCGGACTTAATTTGAGTAAAGTTAGTAAAAAAAAAATAATTTAATAATTAAAAAAAGAGAGTACAAATTTAGGGATAAAAAATTAATTTTTAAAAAATAGATTAAATTAGAGGTTTTGTTAATATTTTGAATTAAATGAATGCAGCCGAGCTATTAGGATTTGACGATTATATCTCTCCCTACGCCACCGCAAGAGGCCGAGACATCCTTAGAGGCATTAATTATGCATCCGCCGCCGCCGGCATCAGAGAGGAAACTGGTCGCCAATTGGTATATAAATTTCATTTCATCTTTTTTGTATCACAATTCCTAATCCCTTTTCAAAAATTTTATAAACTCGTGTTGCGTAAACTCATGATGTATCGGTATTTTTCATAATCTATTTTATTAATAAATATGTATACAAATTCATGATGTGTCAAGAACCAAATTTGAACCGGTGACATGAGAATTTTTTAGCCCTCTGCTTTACTAACCGAGCTATATTGACCATTGAATAATGTTAAACTGTTGAAAAACATCGAAACGTTTAATTTGGTCGAGATGGTAATGCGCTATATGTTTAATAGGGAGGACGCATAAGCTTTAGTGGACAAGTGGAGAATTACCAAAACACAGTGTCTCAAGTGGTGGATCTACTTGGAGATGAGGACTCAGCTGCAGCTTATCTCAGTAAATGCATATACTCAATAGGGTTGGGGAGTAATGACTATCTCAACAACTATTTCATGCCTCAATTTTACTCAACAGGCAACCAGTTTACACCTCAACAATACTCTGAAAACCTTCTCCAACAGTATTCCGAGCAGCTTAGGGTACACCGGCCGAAACCCGGCTCGAAAAATTTAAACTTTATGTGAATTTCAGCTCGAATATCAACTGACTGACCGTTCATTTACGTGCCATTGTTGTGTTTTGTAGCTTTTGTACAACTATGGAGCTAGGAAGTTTGTGCTGTTTGGACTTGGTCAGATTGGTTGCAGTCCAAATGAGTTGGCTCAGAACAGTCCAGATGGAAGGACTTGTGTTCAAAAGATCAACTCAGCCAATCAAATATTCAATGCTGGTCTTAGATCTTTGGTTGATCAATTTAACAACAATCAAGCTGATGCTAAGTTTATCTACATTGATTCTTTTGGCATTTTTCAAGATGTCATTGACAATCCACCTGCCTTCGGTAAGATTTCGTGTTATTAAACTGATTGACCGTAATTTAATATGATATCAGAATAGAACGTGACGAAGTCGATGAATGTTTATATCAGGTTTTAGGGTTGTGAACACTGGATGCTGTGGAGTAGGAAGGAACAATGGGCAAATCACATGTCTACCCTTTCAAACTCCATGCTCAAACAGGGATGAGTATCTATTTTGGGATGCATTTCATCCAACAGAAGCTGGGAATGCCGTGATCGGGCGGAGAGCTTACAGCGCTCAACGTCCAACCGATGCATACCCAATCGATATTCGTCGACTTGCACAACTCTAAGATGGATTTGAAGATGTGTTATGGGTTTTATAATATGTTGTATGGTTCATAAATTATATACATACTTGTTTTCAATTAGTTACTATTTTTGTTTATTGAGTTTGGGTGTTTCTGCACCTTTTGGTGTCTGTATTATTGTATCTGTAATTGTTGTCTACAAATGCTACTAAATTGTTATTTTCATTAGTTAGTCGACTGCTAAATCTATTTTGGCATGTTACATATTGTTGTCAGTTTTACAGTTTTAAAAAGTGTTTATTATGGAGATTTGTTCTCCTCTCCAACTAATGTGAGATCTCACAATCCACCCTCATTGAGGGCCCAATGTCCTCATTGATACACTACCCCATGTCTGGCTTTGATACCATCTGTAACTAGTCCAAACTCGCCACTAAAAGGTATTGTCCGGTCAGCCTCACAATTTTAAAACGAGTTTTCTAGGGAGAGGTTTCCACACCTTTATAAATGTAACAAGTCAAAACAGATAATATCCAGTAGTGATAGACTTGGACTGTTACATAAACACTTTTCGTACCTACCCAAAAAGAAATGTGTCACTGTTGTGTACGTGTACTAAATCTATATGTATTCGTGCTTCTTAGATTAGGAGATATGAAAGTAGAAAGGATGATTGTTTGTTGTATATTATAAACATAATAACATACAAAAAAAAAAAAAAAAAAAAAAAAAAAAAAAAAAAAAAAAAAAAAAAAAAAAAAAAAAAAAAAAAAAAAAAAAAAAAAAAAAAAAAAAAAAAAAAAAAAAAAAAAAAAAAA